TCAAGGATCCATCCACTCAAAGACTTGGGCAATTTCCACAGGTAAACTTGATCGGTTAATCTTATGCTATACTTTGGTGGTGATTGGCTAGGTAGACATCAGCTAATATATTATGCCCTGTCGCTTATCTTCTGAACTTATCCAAGAAACTACAGAGGTTTTTTATGTCTGAAAACTTGACCATCTATTTCAGCATAACTTTTTTTGCAGCCCTATCTGGGTGTGTATTGACTGTATGTTCTATGTTAATGACAGCCGAACCATACAAAAGCCTCTACTTCTTTCTCCTCGTCATCTGCACCTGTTGCCCATGGTGGTAGCAGTACATTGTTGGCTCCTTCAAAATGTACATACAGGTAGATATTGTTTTTGTTTCTCTTTAATCAAGTGAAAACCTACATTCTTACAAAAGGTGTGCCTTTGTCCTCATTGAAGGTCCCTGTTAGCGGATATCATTCAACCACAGGATGTAAAAGAGCTTTGCTCTGTTCTAGTGGTGTTATCAAGCGAAGTTGCCAAGACACTTGCAGGTATATCTTGATAACTGATCCGTCTATGAATGAGCTGAAAATTGCCTTTGGTGTTACTTTGGCTAGTTCAGCCACTTAATGGAAGAGGTACATTTAGTTGGTAGAGGGGTTATTTTGCGGTTTCGTTAATGAATGTTAAAACTACGGCTGAGGGAGGAATTTTGACTTATAATCTGTTTCAAATTAATATGTGAAGCCATCACCCTGTGATTTCCAGTGTGATTGAGTACAGACAGTGCACATTGATCACAGTGTATACTTGTCTCCAAATGGTAAAATTTCAGCGGCCGCGGCTTTCTGTGTTGTCTGATCGTTCTTTTTGTACACTCTCTCAGTTTCATTGGAATAAATACATTTATTAGCAAAATGTAGCTAGAGTTTTGCAATTGTGTCTTGATGATCCATCAGTGGCTTTCTATGTTGTCTGATCGTTCTTTTTGTACACTCTCTCAGTTTCATTGGGATAAATACATTTATTTAGCAAAACGTAGCTAGAGTTTTGCAATTGTGTCTTGATGGTCCATCATTTTTCTCTAACTTGCTCATCTCCTCTTCATGTTCAATCTCCCTTACACTTAATGGGCTTATGTGCAATCTATATTCCTTTCATCTCACCGCGTCCATGACTACCACCACCACAAGCCTGAACCACTCTCAGTCGTGGTTGCTGATGATGTTTAGGATCTGTAAGCCAAAGTGAAAGCTGAAGTGTTATTTCACTGTTTTGATATCAGAAAGTGGACATGTAAATTATTAGTTGTCATAGGAAACCAAATAGAAAAGAAACTTTTGGGATAACATATCAGTGCTAAAGCCATCCAAGAAGCTAAGAAATTTTGTTATCTCACATCAAATTGAAGTGATAAGGCTGTGGCCTAGTGATGGTCCAACGTTACAGAGACTCCAAAAGCATTCTGTCTCCTCCCTATCCTATGATACCCTGGCCCGAAATGAGAAGTCTTTGGACTGTGACAATGGGACTTCTATGCATCGGTGTCTCATCCACAATGTGATAACTGGAAAAGAGCTCAGTTTTAACCTTGAATAGATGTTTGTCTGCTCAAACTGTTAGGGAGAGAGGGGCGTGGGGTTTGTTGACAACCTTGTCATATCCATTAGCTGTTTAAGGGAGTGCTTTGTGGATTTTCCTCTCTGTGGAGACTGAACCAAAATGATGAGCAAAGAGTTTTGGAAATGTATATACAAATTTGGATGCTTCATATTGTTGTACTTCAATCTTCATCCACCGAACTTCATGCTTGGTCATAGCTGATGACTTTCTCCTCCTATTATAGTGAGGTTGCTGCTTTTACTATTACTAGCTTCAGAGTTAAAGCTTCACTTTTCATACATTTGTGAGGTTAGAACAGTGAAGGGTTTAAACTTTATATGATCTGCCTTATTTTTGCAATAGTTTCTTATTCCTTGTGCAATCAGTCTCCTCCGAGTTGCTTTTTCTCTTCTTCAGCAACTAATATGGGCAGTTTCTTTCCTTTTGTATTTTATTCCAGCTTCATTACCTGGCTTGTCATCGTTTCCTTTGGTGACTTTGTTTCAGTACAACTAGTAGTTCCAGTAAAAACAAATTCTGTCGCTTGGAAATGAAGTAGTCAGCTTCGGTGACATTGCTAATTATTGATGTTAATTTTTTTGCTGCTGTACTTAGTGAAAGTACTTCTGATTGTTCTTCCAACTGGTATTGTCTGTGAGCTTGTTGCGTTTGTAAACCAATAGAAAATTGAAGGATTGCTGTTACTGAATTATGGTCAATGTTCGTGCTCAGAAGAAAAGAATGCAAAAGAAAAGCAGGTGGCAGATCAGACAGAACCTTCTCTTGCTTCATCGGCACAAGACATGACTCAAAGCCTAAAGGATCCTGATGGCGGGAAAACAGCAGCCGACAATTGTTCGAGCTCAAGCCAGGTTGATAAAAGTGGTAATGAGGAATCAGTCTCAGACAGTGCCGAAGCACCAAATGGAAGACCAATGTCTCCTGGAACTTTGGCTTTGATGTGTGACGAACAAGACACAATGTTCATGGCAGCTGCTTCCCCTAGTGGGTTGATGGGCCACGACTGCAATTCATCTTCACAGGTTTCTCATGGACAAGGTATAACAGAGGTCTACGCGGAGCAGGAAAGGATTGTGTTGGCGAAAGTGCGAGATTGTCTTAATAAGCTCATCACTTTCGGAGAAATAAAAGGTAAGCTTGAATACCCTTAACTCAATTCTGCTTCCAACTCCAAAGAAAAGTAGAAAAGAAAGAAGAATTAGTCCATAACCCTGATGCGTCAGTTATCCTTCTGCATATTACATCTTGCGGTACGTTGATTGATATTTTCGACCAAGTAAAAACCTTGAAAGTTGAGGTAGTCCTTTCTGGAGTGCACACAATCTGGTGTCATAATCGATTGTTTCAATATGAAGTAGCATAGTCAAGCATTTCGAAATGTGACTGCCAAATAGTTTATTAATAACAATCTGTAACATTGCCCAGAAGTTAGAAACAAGGCATTTCTTCATATCTAAACCAATTAAACCTACATCATTCCACTTGTCAATAGATAAGTGGGTTGGAGTATTTGACATAGAATTTGTAAATATGTAATGAGATGCCATAGTTGAATAGCATGATGTGCTTGTATGGTATTGATGAATTGCCTTAGAAAATTTCAAATTTTCTTCGAAACGACGAAATTGCACATCCTTCTGCTTTTTTTGTCCTTGCTAATCCTTAAATAATACCTGATATTCTGATGCTGGATGTTCCGCCACACACTAGTGTGTTTGTATAAAGCTACCCGTTTGGTACTTTGATCAAGCAACCTTCTTATTATAAGATCCTCAGTGTGATTATTTTGCGACAGAAACCAAGTATTCCTCATTAGCCAGAACTGAATTGGGACTTCAAAAGGACCCCATCTGTAATGGAGCTGCAAACGGAAAAGTTGAAACAGGACATCAACCTTGGTTGGAAAGCAATAGCATCTCCAGAACTGATGTTCCACCGCCTTTATCGACTCAGGTGGTTTCCACAGTGGTTAGCACTTCTCATACAGACAATTCCAAAATGTCACGTGCTCTTGAGAATGGGTCTATCCAGCCAAAGGTCGAACAGATATGAAGCAAGTTTTAAGCAAAGGAGTTTTGTAATGAGCGAGCGCAGATTGCTATGGCATCGATACGCAATTAAACCTAGCGCACAGACGTAAGTCCTAGCAAAGCAGATGGAACACAAGTAACGGAGAAGTTCGCCACAGGCTCTTGTGGTGGTGCTGACATGATTACATTATGGCTTACCGCAGCCATATTATTTACTTCACTCAATTGATTTTAGCGTTTGAGCTCTGATTTGATTTGTAAGATTAGGCTTGAGAATGCGCCTGAAGATGCACAGGATATCACCATGTTGTACGTGCTGAGGCGACATGACTTGTACGCCCGGATGTAAAGATATACTCAATCATTTAACTGAGATAGAGTAATTTGATAAGTTTCCTATACTTATGTATCTCAAAGAGAAAAATGGAATGAAGTTGCTGTGTATCCAATTTTTTGGTTGACTAGCTACAATTTCATACATCTGACTAAATTTGTAGTTTTATTATACCTCTCCTCGTGCGGCGAAACCTTATGACAGTAATGCTCCATTTGCTTTGCAACCGTTGAGCAAAGCTTAGATTGTTTGTAACAAGCTCAAGGCTTAAATTCTGAAAAGTGATTTTTATTCCGACAGAGCAACATTTGTTCATCAGTTGGACCGCCGCCATTCATGGGAGGTCGTTTCTTGATCAACAGTAGAGCAGCTGATCACTGAAGCTACCACCAATCATTAGTTGTACAGTTGCCGATTGTTGCCGACACCTACTCATTTTCAGAAGTTCTAAAAAAGGCGCCATTGTCTTGGGCACGGTGGTGTGGGGTTTTGAGGAGTTAGGTCTAGGTCATGGAAGCAATTCCCGTGGAGAGCAAAGGATGGGCACATGCGACATGTCCACTCTAACACTAATAATTTATGTCTCGTAAAATATTTTACAGCAAAACATTTTCATTCAAAAGAGATAGCCAGCCGCATTCAGATTTAAAATACTAGTCATGACTTACATAATCCATGTTAAATGGCTTCTTTCGTTAAGAAAGGTCAACAGATCAATGCTGCTCAACTCCATCACTAACTACCAACAGACAGTTTTTCAGACATCTGAATCGAATATTTCAAACCTCGAAGAATTTCTCCCCCAATAAGTGGACAACTATAAGCACAAAGAAACTCCAAATTAAATATTTAAATGAGCTCGTATAGTTCATCAATCCGTTGCTACGCCATATCCATATTGCAAAACAATGATGTTTCGCTTTCGATTCGCTTAAGTCAAAATAGTAAAATGACCCGCTTACTGATTGCCGTTTCCCTTTTCACGTCACTCTGTCTGGCTTGCAGTTTCAGTGGCTAGTATGGACATGACAGCATTGGCAAAGACCACCTTCAACACCCAATACTCACACTTTTTAACATCCCTTTCGAATGTCAGCAACGACAATTACTAACTGGTAGTAGATGCCACAAAATGGTTTACATTTAGCATGCCTAATTAACACGAAATTGCCATCTCTACAATCGACGCATTTTAGAGCATAAATTAGCTGACAGAAGCTTGAATATGCTTGTGGCATAGCTTACACTTCAACAAGCAAACCCCTTATTGCTCTCGAGCCTCCATATTGAATAACAAGGAAATGGGCTAGTTTTATTCTTTGATTGGAGCAGCGGACGACATAGGCACAAAGCATGGGAAAGGAAAACTCCTAGAGTCGTGACTTTGAACGTGATGAGGATGACACAGGTGCACTCTGCATAATGAAAGTAAATTTCATGAGAGAGCTTAGTTTCCAAAGCGTCCAGGCAGGCAGAGACTGGCATGTAATGGGCTAAAGACACGTTAAATCAGTCACAGTTGGCGCATAAAGCAAAAAAAAAAAGAAAAAAGAAGGGGGTGAAAATGAATGGTTTTCCTCGGGCTAATTGTTTATGATTATGCTAACTTTGCGTACCAACACTTTTAAACATCTCTCTTAACATGGTAAATGTTTAATTCACTCTGAAAACACGTCAGTTGTGTAGCTAAATTCCTCTTGTATCAGTTTTAGTTCTCTGTACTTAGTGTTTTGGATCTTATGGGGGTCATGTCCACCTTTGTCAGCCCAAAATGGTTGCCAGCAAAGAAGCAAAAGATCAAAGTGAGCAAGCATGAGATTGAGTAGCAGCCTGGTGAACATAGGTCTGATTTTCTGGGAGGTCAGTAAGGTGATTATATGATTACAGGTTTCACTGAGCCATAAAAAAAAAAAAGATAGTTACCAGTGGGATGCCTTTCGTGGCTCTTTCTTCCAAAAACCTTGATGGAAGGTAGAAGTTACCATATAATTCTGACCACTTCTTGAGACTTTTGTATATGTGATTTGGTCCGACCGCATCGCCCCAAAATACGAGACCGCCACTACAATGGAAGAAACAAGCAGGTCAGCAAGAAGGAGGAAGAAATTCTGGTACCAATATGTAAAGGTATAAAATAAGAATCAATCTCGTGCTAAAAATAGCAAGCCTCCTCCTATACGAGTCCATCAAGACAACAAAACCAGGAAATCAAAGATAAATTACATCCTATAAAAGAACTAGGTGCACAAAGCCCCCCTCACTGGGGGCATCTGGGAAGAGGCTGCACCCTTGCCTTGACCCTGTGACCTTAGGCCACAATGGGACGGGTTGATGTATGCTTATTTCTTCCATGCATTGCTGTACTGAAAAATCCCTGCATTACTATATGATGTAAAAAATGCATAACCCGACACAGTCCGCCACTTGACACATTCAAATAAAACAGAGCATTCACAAATAGTGACAAAATTTGCATGAACGAGGAGCCAAATGGCATCACAACATGGTAAACTAATGTAAATATTTGCAAGGAAATAAGAATAACTGCAGATTAACTCACCGGAATGATGGGAAACTCATCCCAAGGACTGAGGCAATGTCAAGGTCTGATGCTCGTATTACCACTTCTTCAGCCAAAACACGACACGCCTCATTCACCACAGGAAATAATAGCATTTCCACAATTTCTTGTTCAGAAAGAGAGAGAGGCTGTGTGAACATCAAAAAAATTTAAAGGGATTCATAAGGTCTTGTCAGTTTTGAAGAGATCTGAGCTAAGTTAAACAGAATCGGCAGGTCCATACAATGGATATACACAACTTAACAGAAGAATGAAGGTACCTTTCCACCAGGCATGATATTGGCAATCCTCCTAGACTCCTCAACAATAGGTTGCACAGATGGGTCAGGTACTGGTTTGCGCCCCTTTTCATAGATATAATATCCCTTTCCATTGTTCTTCCCTAAGTACCAGAGTTTGTTCAAAGTACATTTAACAGATGAAAAAGAAGCGATCATTGATAAGAAAAGACATTAATAAGGATTATCCTCATTACCATTTCGCCCACTTCTGATCAAAAGTTCAAGCAGAGGAGACTTATATGTCAGGCCCGGAAAGGCATCAGCAAATACTTTCCCAACTGCCATGCCCACACCATATCCGGCAACGTCCTGAAGCCTGCAATTATAAGCATGTTAAAAGAGAGCATCATCAAGAACCCAGAACTCATTCATGGCTTTTGAGAATGAATGCTTTAGTTACAAGTTCAACTGATTAATGGACTAATCAAAAGCCATAGGTTCCGATAAATTGGCAGTTAACAACTTGAGAGGCTAAGAGGCTAAAAATAACAAGGTCACAAATACCACGTTTGCATTTATTTTTCGCATGTGCATCCTGCTGAGTCATAGGTCCTCCCATCAGAACAAGGACCTTGGCAGCATGATCTTGTCAGTATCCTCTTGTTTCTCACATTCATAAATGATTTTAAATTTCACGTGCTCCTTCAGTCAAACTTTTGGAAGTAGCTTCCTCAGAATTTCGCAAACCAAAGCATAAGAGAACTAGGCAGCCAACTAGGCTCATCATAATTTACATTCTCAGACAATTGATTCTCCACGAACCAATTCCTTTGGAAAAGTCTTAGATACATGTTGGCTGGTCTAGTTCGGTGATTAATGGAGTTATTACTCATCCATCAGCAGTAACTAAGCAATTATACTGAAAAAAGAAAAGAAGCGAACTGCTCAAGGAATTTTCCTACTCTACCTCTCCAGTCCAAGCTACATCAAATCATCATCATATGTATCCCCAAACAAAAAGAATTTGCGGGAACCTTAATTTTCTTGGACATTTCCAAATCCATGCATGCACCAAACGTACGTATATTTTATGACATTGGGTGTCCAGGCCTCTTAGAGCACCCAACTTAATCTATCTATAAAAGCTAATATCCTCAACAAATCACATTTGATCAGGTGAAAAACATATTTATGACAAGCTGCAATGCGGAGGGGAAGATAATTACTGGAAAGGACCAAGAGGGAAGCCGAAGTTGACAATTGCCCTATCAATCTTGAAGGGGTCCACACCTAGACTGACCAACAGATGTGCACCTTGGGAATATGGGAAGAATGCCCGGTTTACAGCAAACCCAGCGCAGTTGCCCACCACAACCGGAACCTTCTTTATGATTTTTCCAACTGTCATAAGATCAAGAATCACTTGTGCAGAAGTCCTCTCTGTGCGTACAATCTCCAATAGGGACATTATATGAGCAGGACTGTTTCCAAATTTGCCAATGAAAAGAAAAATAGTAAGCTTAGTAGACCGATGCACAAGGGGAAACAATGTTATACTGGAGCAAGACAGCATGCTATCTATATAGTCATCTCAATCAAACAAAGAACCCACATTCTTCAGAACAATATGCTAAAAAAGTGAAGATCCAGGTATAATTACAGAAGAGCTGGAAGGGTAAGAAACATTAAATCCCACTCATCAAGATGCATAATGTGCCACAAAGAATCAAGCAGTAAGAAAACTTTGCAAAGCTAATATCAAGTTTAGGACGGAGGGCTCCATGGTATCCAAAGTATATCCAAATGCGGGACAATATTTAGAGAGCCATTGGAAGCTATGTGCCACCAGTGCTGACTCTTGATTCAAAGGAGAAAAAAGAGATGTCTAACATAGTAATACATGCTATGCTACAGAACCTGATCATACATACACACGATGGTCATTACTAACTCAACCTTCGGCATTTTTCTCGCTCCAATTGTGCCAAAACGGAGAAAAGTTTTGAAAGAGACATACATGTGTGGACAGACACAGAGAATAGATCCATCAGACAGATCACTGAGAAAACTATCGACAAGATAAGATTGATCGGACCAGATATGGGAGGAAAAAAGTGACACCTGTCACAGAGTGAAACAGATAAATAACACCACAGTTGCATTGTCAATTGGAATGACAGAAAAGAAAATCATGTGCCTATTAGGAATCTAAATTAGCATTTTAATAGACATAAAATCAGGTCAAATAATCCTAACTACACAACCACAAATTCCAGACCCTACAATGAGCAAGGCTATTCTGCACCAAGGATGAGAAAGAGTGATACTTCATACATCTATGTCATAGAGGAAAAGAAAATAAGTTAAATAACCTGAAAAAATGAGCACCCACAATCCGATCTTGAGAGCTGGTTCTTTCTCCAATGATATTAAGATCAATCGAAGAAGTATTTGTAGCTAGTATGCAATGGGGAGGACATATCTTCTCAATTTCACTAAAAATTGCTTGTTTTAATGAAATGTTCTCAATCACAGCCTGCAAATGGGGGACTTCCGTCAGTTGTTTCTAACAAAGAAGTAGTACAGATCATGCACATATGAGCCTTAAAGATTTCTCATGGCTTCTATTCAATAGAACTTGTGAGCTACTTGGTGCCATTTTCTATAGTGAAGGAATTGTATAATCATTTAAGCAGAATACTTGCAATCTACCTCTATCACCATGTCCACGTCTTTAAAATCTGCATAATCCAGGACACCTTTTAGCATTGACAAAGCCTTTTCCGCATTACCCTGTGTCAGTTTCCCTTTCACTACAAGACCTCGAACATTAGCTGCAAAGAAAAGTCACAGAAAAATAAGTGAGAAGTCAAGCTTATTGCAAATGACAGCATCAAGGACAAAATCACTATTTCATAATCAGCAAAGGTGTTTGGGTTGAAATTAACTTCTATAAACAGCCTAGATATGTATATTCTCATACTCACTTTGCATCATTGGTGGGCTATGACCTGAAGTTGTCTTTTGTCATGGATAAAACATGGAATAGAAGCTATATGTTTAAATTTATGAGGCTATTGTGAAGTATAGACAATATCAAACAATGTTGTAATTTGAACTTGTCCAGCATGGAACAACCTATCTAGTCCTATTAACAGTTGAAAAGTATTGGATACCTTAATAACAGCTACTAAACATCAAATTATAGGTAAAATCTTTTAACTTCCTCATAGTCATGGTGGAAAGTAACCAACGGAAAAAAAAAAAAAAAACTGTTCATCACAACTATGGCCCAATGATATATGAGGAGACAGTGTAACCATATAGGGAATGCCGCTCCCAGGCTTTTGAACTTCATGAAATGAACTACTTACCTTCAACCATTTTTATCCCCTTTAGAAGATATTCAGAGTTGATTTCCTTAAGAATGACGTATATATTGTTCAGAATAAGAGCAGTAGCAATGCCAGAACCCATTAGACCTCCACCTATCACAGCAACCTTCTTCACCTTCCTTGGTTTTAACCCAACATCAGTGACATTAGGCACCTGCAAAAGCGAAGAGTCTTGACTGTTAAGGGAATAATTCAGATTATAACAACAGCTAATAAGACTACTTACTTCTGTGAGAACAGAGGAAATTATCTAATAGTATGAAACATGATATTAGATTGTAACCTTCTGGGAATTGGAGAAAAAATTAATGGAATATATAGGTAGAATACAACACGTAGCAAGAACAGAAGAAAGGGGCATCTATCACATAAACGAAACAACAAATCTACCTAAGAAGAAACTATGTAAGAGTATGAAACATGATTTATAAGGTTGTGACTTTCTTAAAATCGGAAAAAAATATGATCAAGGAATATAAACATAAAATAGAATACCTAGTAGAAACAGAAGAAAAGACCTCTATCACATAATATAAATGACAAAACTACCTAAAAAGTCCCCCCAATTATCCATGTTAGAAAAAAGCGAATGAGGATAAATAGAAAGAACAGAAATTTGTTTGGAAGAATTAGCATGTCCTTATCTATTTCTGAGAGCATAACTTGTTCCTACATGAAAAGTTAACTACAAAATCCTTTTTACAGAAAAGGAGACTCAAACTTCAAACAGTAATTCTCTCCTACAACTGTTATATCATAGGCAAACATAATGGATGGAAACAAACCAATCATCAACAAATTAAAACTCAAAACTAAGAACCACACATCCAGCAGCCCACTTTTTTCTCTGTCAAATATAACAAAGAAAGGATAGAGAAGATCCATCACATCTTAATTCATATACCTTATTATTTTGAAGTATTAGGTACATATCTACTTTAGACGCACCTTTGCCGTCGCACGCTGAGCAAAAAATACATGAACAAGGCCCTTCGAAGCTTCCGATAAGACCAACTCCTTAAATACTTTAGCCTCCTGCCATGACAGTTTTCTTTGTCAGCAAATTCACAAATGAAACTACGCTTGCTTAAAAAATATTCACGCCCCCTAGTCCTCCCCCCAAATGCTCCTCCCAGCAGACATGTTGAGTCAAATGATCTACAAAGTCCCGAAAGTACACATGCTAGTAATGTGGGCAAATTTAGTAACTAGGCGCATAATGTTATCCACCATTGTGGCCACATTAAGAACAGTAAATCGTGTTCTTCCAAGGGATACAGATTAGGTATCTATGACAGATTAGCCACTCTCTAAAATTTACCTTTAGAACCCCATTATATCCACCATGAACAATGCCTTCTTCCATCACATCAAGGCATGCCTGATGCTGAGGCAAGTGAAGGGCAGTCTTCTTGGCTTGTTCTCGTGCAATTTTCAGTATCTTGAGTGCTTCGGACAGGGGAGGAAGCTTATCTGTGCGATGAAGTGAACGAACCCATGGTTTACGCCTATTTGCAATGTCCAGAGCCCAGAGACGAGATACTTTCAGCAATTCTCCTGAAGGAACGATGGCATCAATGAGACCTAGTTCCTTCCCCTCTTCTGACATAATTGGTTTGGAAGACTGCAAATCATTAAATGAAACAATTAATTAGCATGTTTGTAAATAAATAACTGCAGATACAAACTATTGGTGAGATGCTTGCTCTTTTCTCGGAATAGAAGTCAATAAGGCTAAGCAATGGCCTAGAATTAGCTACAGCTGTCTAGGAGCAATTTGATTGAATCTTGCCCTCAAATACTTCATTCTAGAGATCTTTCTTATTTTTTTAATTCTTGCAGCATCTATCTTCTCTCTTATTACAGCGAATCTTCATTAGAAGACAGTAGCAAGATATTCTAGTTTCATTAAATCAGTCTATTCCTTTACATTACTCCTCAATCCTCAAAAGAAGGAAAATAAAAATCACACTTAAGCCATATTTGAGATAAGGGAACCTTGTGGTCACTATCTGCAGCGTCATCCAACCTTTGTCGGTTCAATTTGCAACTAGTTCACGCAAACATGTACTGCTTACCCTACCAAATCAAGAAAATGCTTCCCCAAACCCCCCCACCCAAAAAAAAAACAGAAGAAGAAGAAGAAGCAACCCCAAAAAGAAACAAAAATTTGCACATGAAAGCAAGTAGAGAAGAGAGAGAGAGAATCCTAGATCAAATTGTAATCTCACCCGCATCATTTCAATAGCCTTGGGCAGTCCTAAAAGCCTCGGAAGACGTTGTGTTCCTTAAGAATTGAATAAACTTATTATTAGTTTGGATTATAAGCAGGAAAGATTATTGTAAGACATTCAGGCTTATGCCCAGGCATTGCCTAAAAGTACCTCCCCATCCTGGAATTATTCCAAGTGATAGCTCTGGTAAGCCAAGTTGTGTCCTTGGCACTGCTACACGTGCATGGCATCCCTGGATAAACACCAAATGGGGCATTGTTGATAATAAGTATAGGAAGCAAACAAAAGAAAACAACACTCAGAAATTGCTTCTACTTGACTCTGAACACAGATGACAGACCAGCGCCAATTCTAAGCCACCTCCAAGAGCAAGTCCTTCTATGGCAGCAACAATAGGCTTCTTGGCATCTAGCATAAAAAGAAATATCAATCTTCATTCATACTCTCAAATGGCATCACATTGCGGAAAGGTAACAGTTTAAGCCGGGCTAAGGACCTTCCATTGTGTTGACCACGAGTTCAACGGACGTATCAGGGAGACCCGAAATATCACCTGCCAGGCAAATTGATCACGTTCGACTTCACCATCACTGGGAAATTAGCGAATAATAATTCGAGAAACAATTTCCATCAAATCATACCGGTCTCCTGAGTCTGCTCAAAGACATTGATATCGAAACCAGCAGAAAACCTCCCACCGTTGCCTTCACAACAAACAAGAAAACACGCACGGTACGCACTTGTAAGCAAAAATTACAAAACGCATCAAATAGAACCCCAGCAAGCTTTGTTGTCCGATGCCTTCTTTCGGAGGAATTTTGCAAAGTTTTCGCCTTTTCGCCGCTTGCTCGGCCGAATAAGCCTTTCGGCCGATCCGCACAAACACAACGGGGAAACAGATTACAGAGCAGCTACGAAACAGAGACGGGACACCAAAATTTGAAGTCCCAAAAAGTTACCTGTCAAGACAATAGCCTTCACATCGTCTCTCCTCATAGCTTCATCCAACTTCTCCTTTAATTCAGATTGAACTGCACCGCCCGCCCACCAACAGCAAAGCACCGGATCAGACGCTCGATCCACGATTTCAAACCGAGAAAACAAATTCCAGAATCGACCAAACGCGACGGCGAACAGAAAGAGAGAGAAGCAAAAGGCCCCGCCAGAGAGCTCATGGTCGGGTCGGAACTTTCACCTGGAATGGCCAAGGCGTTGACGGGAGGATTGGACATTGTGACGACGGCGACGCCGTCGCGGCCGACCTCCATGGCGACGCCGATTCTCGCCATGATCAGGGGGGGCAGTCCTCCTCCTCCGGGGACGGGAGACGCGCGCGGGTCGATTCGCCGTAGCCGATCTCGTTTCCGCCGGAACGACGGGGAGCGCCGACGAGACCTTCGCCGGCGTGGAGCTGGAGTAGGGGGGGAGATGCAGGGGGGGGAGGCGGAGGCGAACCAAGCTCTTTATACAGTTGGCCTGGTGATGGTGGGGGAAGCGAAAGCGAGTGTTAAGTTGACGAACAGAGGTCCACTACGTATCCTTTTTTTCATTTTTCTTTTTTTATGGGGGGTATTTAATAAAGACTAAGGTCTATAAGATAAGCGCTGAAAAATTTAATAAAATAATTCGAACAATTAATGAAATTTAAACTTATTTACGGTAGTTTCTGATATAGATCTAAAAAGGCTCGATTAAGTTGGAAGAATCGCTCGAGAAAATCAGATATGTTTTGCAGTGCATTCGAAAGGATTTATTCAATTCAAATCGAGTGAGAAAATCAATCAATGGCGATTGGAATGTTACCGATTATATCACTAAACTATATCCATAACGAGCACAATTTCAATGTGTGACTAGAAACAAATGATATCCGGTTATCTATTTTCTATTTATTTATCCAGAATTTCTTTTAGGTTTTTTTATTTTCGGTAGTTATTATTGACGCTTGAAATTCGGTTGTTAATTTTTCAACACTTATTTTCCGATTTTATGGCAAACGAATCTTGAGATAGACTTAATTGACTTTCATGACGTTTTTGCTCGAACATTAAATTATTGTGCGTCAAGTACGAAGAAAACAGTTAGGGTACTAATACTTTGCACGAGACGATTTTTTGAGATCACGGGTCTGATTTAGTGGCTCGTGCCAGATCCGATCAAAGGCAAGTCCATTAATCGAGTCGACATATTCGTGAAGAATACGGTTCATAATGAATAAAAGTAAATTGATATTTCTCGATGTGCAAAGAAAATCTTCTTACAATCTTTTGGATTGACATGGTATCTGGTATTCCATTTGAAGAATCCTAGAGAGAGCTTGAAATGCATAAATTTGTGATTCCTAAATTAATTAACTAAACCATTTTAATTGATGACTAAATACCATAGACATCCCATTTTTTCTTTTTTATTATGGTTAATACCACCAAAAATTCTAAACTGGTACACTCGTGACAAATTTGCCCAAAACTAACTTTTTGACCACCAAAAACCCCAAATCGGTACACCCACGATAAATTTACCTCAAACCTAATTTTTTGACCACAAAAAACCCCAAACTGGTACATTTGTGACAAATTTACCCTCCGTTAAATTGGATTTATACCACAAAAAATCATAAGCTGGTACACATGCAAAACCCCAAATTGATACACCTGTCAGTTGCCACGTGTCATCTAATTCAGAAATTTGCCGGTAAAATTTAACGAAAACAAGCAGAGGGTAAAATTGTCACAGATATACCGGTTTGGGGCTTTTGGTGGTCAATAAATTAACTGGAGTAAATTTATCACGAGTGTATCAGTTTCAGATTTTTTCGCGGTATTAACCTTTTTATTTATTTATTAATTTTCCAATTAATAGGGTCACACGATATTACAATGAGATCGGCCGCAGGGTATCGAATCGAATTCACCTTATACAAAGTGTCGTTTCCTTGTCATTGCTCGCTACTCCCTACGATTACCTCGTGGATCGCGAGGTTAAGTGCGTCAGAGCCAGGGGGGCCCACCACAATATTTGGCCCCTAAAAAAATTGAAATTTTTTTTAAAAAAAAATCCAACTTGCAATAATAATTATTATGCGGGCGGAAATAAAAAAAAAATGCCACGAACCGTCGATGTCATGGGTTGGTCGGTACTTACTGGCCAGGTCGGCAAACGAGGAAGTCAACTATGATTATTCGGGGCAATTAGCCTAATCCTACTTTTGGAAAGGAGGCGGCGGAGGGAGAAGGAAAAAAAAATGTGGAAATTTAAGAAAAATTGTGGGAAAATAGGTATATAGTATTTGTCCACGATGAAAATATTTTCCTGTTAACGCATTTTTCTGAGGGGCATGAATTCTCGGAAATTTTTTTTGTCGGGGAATTTTTGCAAATAATTTTTTTTTAAATTGTTGTTTTTTTCCGGGAGTTGAACACACCCTGTTGCGGTCCACTTTGTCCGGTCTTTTAGACTACGCATGGCAACCATTCTGTGTCCGGAAACAGATTCTGCTAAAAAATGATTCTTTTTTATTCTGTGTCCGAAAATAATTTATAAGCATTTGAAGGCGTCTGGTAACTGCCCAAAGTTTCTATTCTTAAAATATAAAAAGAACAGAAATGTGCTTGGTAACTACACAAAATTTCATTTTATTAATAATATTTTAATAATATTTTGAATTTTTTAATATTTCTTTCTTTCCCTTCCCTTCCTTGGCCAAGGCTGGCGAGAGCGTCGTGGCCCTCGCCGCCGGTCGCTACGGCTAGGTCGGCCTCGCCTTGGTTGGGCGAGGCTCGACCTCGTCCACATCTGGCGAGGCCAGCCTTGCCGTCGCCTGTCTGGCAACAGGCGACGACGAGGTCGGCCTTGCCTTGGCTGGGCGAGGCCTTGCCGTCGCGGCCGCGAGTTGCCCTCGCCGGTGGCCGCGACGCCCTCGCTGGTCCTAGCCTGTGGCCGACGGGTGGCGGGCGGCAGGCCGAAGAACAACAACAAACAAAAAAGAAGAAGAAAATCAAGAAGAATCAGAAATAGAAAAATTGTTCTAGAATCAAGAAGCTACTTTTTTTTTTTTGCTTCTTGATTCTGTTCCAAAACTGATTATGGGAACAATTTTTTGCAAAATTGTGCCCGGCACAAAAATTTAACAAACGGATTTACCGCTCCCAAACCGATTCTAAACAAAAGAATATAAATTATTCTTATTTTGATTCTAGCAAACAGTTCCATAGTAGCTGCCAGTTAACTTCGTTCACTTGCATAGCGCGTGCCTGACCACGAGTTTATATCAAGTCAAGGGTTGAGACTGTATGGCAACGACGACGACGGTCTTGTTGCATGCGAGCGGTCTTGTTGCATTCGAGGCGCTGCATATTAAATAAGGGCATTTCGGTTTTTTCGAGTATTGAGCGCTACGCATCATGAAAGTAAGTAGCCAAATCGTATAGGTAGAAAAGAAGTTCCGTCCATGAGTGTCCTAAACACTTGATCAATATAGTTTACAAGAACAACATATTAATTATAGACTTAGGCTTCGTTGATCGACTTCCAAAAAAATATTTTTCGGACTTTCTAGAATTCATTTCACGGAAAATAAATTAGTCATGGAAAGCATTTTTCCACCAATAGAAAAAACACCTTCAAAAGTGAGAGAAATGTTTTTCGCTTTTTAGAAAGCGGAAAACATTTATCATCTCTTCTTTCACCTCATTTTCTTTCAAATAACTCATGTTCCTTTTATTTTTATTTTTATTTTATTTATTTTTTTAAATCTTATTTTTAAATTATTTTTTATTTTTTCACAAGCGGGCTCACCGGTGGTCGATCGCCGGCCGTTGCCGTGGGCCGACGACAGGCCAAGGAAGAAGACAAAAAAAGGAAAAACAAAAAAAAACAAAAACAAAAACAAAAAATAAAATAATTTAAAAATAAAAATAATTAAAAATTCGAATTTTTTGGTAATTTTCTCTAAAAAATCAAATTGGATATCGAGCGGCAGAAAATATTTTCCAGTTGATTTTCAGGTCTCAGCTTAACACCGGAAAAGATCATCGTTTTTCTGAAAAATGACTTTTCCAAAAGTAATTTTCGAAAATATCACCTTTTTTCGTGAAACGAAGGGAGCCGCAACGGAAATCTAAGGCAAAGATGCATGCTTTTGTGCGATTCACGACTCACGCTTTCAGGCACGAACTCGGAAACCGCATGGCCGCCGTTGACTCCCTCGGTCTTGGTCTCACCAAACGTTGGCCGAACTTTCCTGTCTGAATTCGAGATCTGTTTCACATCTCTCGTTCTGTTTGCTTGGCTGAAGCTTCGCATTGAATGCATACCGGCATAGGAGCGGGGCAACGCGAATTGATTATCACGAATGCGACTGGTGATGAAGATGTCCTCGGAAAAAAAAATGTAACGTACCTAATGTCGAGATCCTGTAGGTGCCGGTGCGCGTACCCCCTACCGAGCAATCGTCACTCGGTTAGCTAAAACTAGCGCGGGGCCAAAATGCACCTCGCGCTGGACCAACAATTTGTCGGCTTAGATGGGAAGGGAGTTTGCTAAATCCTCCTCGTAGCCTAGGCTTTGGAGCCTCGTCGAGAGCTTTTCGGGATCAAGAAAGATCCCGAATGCGCGCCGTACTGCCGGTGTGCGGGCAGTGCGCCTTCTAGATCGCCCGGAGGCGGCTCGATCGGGGCGGTTCGGAGTTTATTTCAAACACCGCCTGATCGGGCCGCTGAGCCGCACCTAATTAAGGCATTGCCACAAGCCGCGAGGTCGCGGCCTTCAACCTCACTGGATGGCCACGAGGGCGGCCAAGGGTCGAGCCTCGCCGGTCATGGGTGAGGCCCGACTTCCCCAGATTCGGCGAGTCAAAGTTTGTGATCTTTTATGAGACAAAATAATTAGATCGAAATTGAAATCAGACCTAAAACTGGGATTTTTTTTATGAGACAAAAAAAAAAGTTTAGAATAGAATTGATATCGAATCTAAAGTTGAGGATTTTCTATATAAGACAAAAAAAGTTTAGGGTATAATTGGGATTGAACCCTTTTTATGGGACAAAAAAAAGTTTATGATAGAATTGGGACAAGACATAAAGTTAGAGGTTTTTTAAGAGACAAAAAGGTAAAATTGGAACAAGAGTTAGGCTGCGCATACAACTTTTAAATAGTGTTTGATTCTCGTTCTTTTGTTTCCGAATCGTTTGAGCAAACGTTTGTTTAATTTTTTGATTAAGGACAATTTTGTCAAAATTTGTTCCAGAATCGCTTTTAAGAATAAAAAAAAGTAGCTTCTGATTCTAACAATTTTGAGAATCAATTTTTTTTCTTCTTCCTTTTCTTGGTTTTTAATGTAGCTTTTAATGTCCAGCCCAAGAACCGCCCTCGCCGGATCTGACGAGAATAAAATATTTTAATAAAAAATATTATTAATAAA